CAGAAGTAGTGGACAACCACCTTCTCAAGAGGCACTTCCTCAGTTATCACATTTTAGCTGAATCAAACACTCTTTAAAAGAGCTACAGACTCCTGTCCCCAGCACTGGAAGGACATCAGGCAGCAAATCCAGAGAAGGGCCACAAAGTTGATTAGAGGTATGGACCACTTCTCTGAGCAAAGGTTGAGAGAATTGGGATTGTTCAGCCTGAAGAAGAGAAGACTTCATGCTGACCTAACTGTGACCTTGCAGTACACGAAGGGAGCCTACAAGAAAGATGGATGGACTTTTCACAAGAGCATGTAGTGACAAGACAAGAGGGATGGCCTCCAAACTGAGAGTAGGTTTAGATTAGATATTGGGGAAAAGTTCTTTACTCTGAAGGTAGTGAGACAGTGGAAAAGGCTGCCCACAGAATTTGTGGATGCCCATCCCTGGAAGAGTTTAAGGACAGGTTGGACGGGGCCCTGAGCAACTTGGTCTAATGGAAGGTTCCCTGTGCATGGCAGGGCAGTTGAAACTATATAATCTTCAAGGTCCCTTTCAAACCAGACCATTCTATGCCCTATGAATTTGTAGTTTAGGTGACTACAATGGAAGCAATTAAGACAAGAACATTTTTGACTGCTAACTTCATGTCTTTTTTGTCCATTAAAAAGCATGAAAGCAAAGCACCTAATTTCAGCAGCAGAAACATTCACCAGGATTCCTAATTAAGTCAGAGAAAAAGTACACACAGTTAGTATTGTCTGGAACCGATCTTTAAAGAACAGGGTCTGAATTAGAAAAGCCCAGATGGGGTCCTGATCCCTGGTTATGGTACTCCCGTACAAATGGTGACAGACACAAGATGATTAGTACAAACATCCCCATCTGTTCCCAATGAGGTATGGCACTTTTTTATTATTTCTTGAAGCATATTAATACCTAAGTTGTTGTGAGCTGAAAAAATAGAACCAAAGATCAGGCAGTATTAAACAAGCAGAATGTTTTTACAGTGCTTGGGGTTGGATGCAAAAGAGTAAATTCCACAGACGGGGACAAAGTAACAGAGGTCTTAATGCTCAGAACCTACTTCAGGGACTTCTTCACACTTTAGAAAAGGTTGAAAAGCAGTATACACCGAGACAGACAGTAACAGCCTTTCAAAAGAATGGAGGTGTTAACATCTTGATTCTTAGAAATGAAAATATTACTTGGATTTCATTGAATTCTTTCAAGTTGGATTTGTTACAGCAAATATTCACATAAACAGCTTTTTTTTATTGTGGAATCCTTAATGTTCCAAAGAGGTTTTGAAACAAACCACTAACTTCCCTAAAACAACAAAGTTAATTTTCATTCATACACTTCACTTTTCATATTTTTTTCTTATTTTTACTTTACAGAACTATATTAAGTTTTGTTCTTAGTAACAGAGCTAAGCAGATTAAAAAACACCTCAGCTTTTCTACAAGACTACATTCAACTGAATAGGCTACCAATGGAAAAGCAAGAGGTATGTCATTTATATACATGCATAGCCTTGACTTTTAGATGTTCAATCTCTGAGGGAAAGAAAATATTCTCTTTTTTAAAGCATATATTTTACAATTCTTTAAAAGCCTTGATTCCTTCCCGGATCTGTCAGTGCTGTTCAGACCATCCAGAGGGTCTACAGATCTGGAAAATTAACACACTTCACCACCAAGCACTATCACACTAACACACCTTTTAAAAGTTTCCTCTGTTTTCCCTTACCACCTAGTTTCAAAATTGACTGAAAGCATCCAATATTCTCTCAGTCTATCCAAAGATTATTTCAGGTTGCAGTATTGACATTTTGTGCTAAGAGTAAAAACACCATTACTTTAGGTATCTGTTAAAAGAAGAATGATACTGACAAGTGGTGAGATAACATTCCACATATCACAACTACTTTTTGAATGAAGTTCCTTTTTTGAAGGAACTTCTCTGAAGGCAGTAGGAAAGGCATACCTTCCTCTTTCTTGGCATAATATTTGGGGCAAACAATACAAAGGGATAGGGATATTACAGTGAAACTGACAGGGAAAAATAATGAGTATCACATTTTCCCTCCATCTCAAATTTTGCATGCTTTTACTGTTCAACTTCACATTTTCTTATTTGTTGCTCCCATTAAAATTCTCCTTTGTGCAACAAGTAGTCCTTATCACCTCTCCCAATGCAGGTTTAAAGAAATAAAAACCATTTTTTACAATAAAAAACACCAGAAATAAAAACACCAAACATCTTTAAATGAAAATCTTTTACTAAACCAGAAGACTCATACCCACACATACACCCTCTTACTCTTCTGTGAGACTATAAATTGTGTGACTGAAGGAAGAGAGGAAAAAGGCATAACCTGAAAGCCCCGTAGAGAGCATCATATCCCAAAAGAAAATGCATCTCTCCCAGTGTACAGGAGGTAACAGAACCTCCTGTTCTACAGATAAAAATTAATAATGCCTGAGGTTATGCCCATATTTCATTACTGTGCTTTTCCAAATGCTAGCAATTACTGTTGGCTTTTATATGGTTAATTACAGCTTAATAATGACTTAGGTGACTTGCTCAAATTCAGTCCATAAGTAAGCAAGTCAGATGAAGTCTAAATTCATTATTTACAAGAGAAAAAAGAAGTTGCATACAAGTGCTCAACATATTTTATTTAGTTGTTTCATCAAAAACTGAACTGTATACTAGCTAGTAAAGAGGGTGCAAGAAATGCATAGGCAAATACTCCAGTATAGTATCTATATAAAAATTCCCAAACAAAACACCACACCCCACCCAGACACATCATAACCCCCCCAACCCTACAATAATTAAGTTCAACCTTGCTTCAGACATAGACACAAGATGTCATGGAAGTGCTAAAGTACTAAACTACTTTCTCCAGCAGTGCACCGTTTCAAAAGCTGTGATGAAACACAATACACACACTTCTGCTAAACCACCTTACCTGATGGCCTGTCACTGTCAGTCTTCTCTCAGGTGGTCTGAGCATGGCATACATTCAGCTCTTTCACTCCTTTTTGAGGAGTTATTTTACACAGTATAGTATCTAGCACATCTACAGTACGTACAAAACGTACCCGGCAAAATTTCTCGCACCCAAAAACTGAACAACTCCATCAGTATGAAAGGGTAAAACCTGAAAGAACCCATGTCATCTTACTCCCTTCGCAAAACGTGATTTGACACTCATTTTCAACTATAAAGCCACTCAAATTTTCAACGCTCCTTCTACTCCATCCACAGCGAAGAGAAATCAATTACAGCCAAAGCACCTACCCGGCAAGCACAAAACAAAGACCAACACGAGAACGCTTCAGCAGTTGTGCTAAATGGGAAAACACAACGCCTAACTAAATAATCACAGCTCTCAGAAAGCAACCGCGCAGCAAGCAAGCATAAAAGTCGGAAAAAGGCTTTCAAGACAAAATCCAGCTCTGTACGAGCTGATCTGCTGCAGTTTAATTTTCCAGAACTGTTCACCGTCATTAATTGTTGATTTGTTTTAAAGAACAGATAGTGATTTATTTGTAGCAGGATGAAGTTACAGACCTAAATTCCTGACCGGAGGCTCTGAACGTAAACAATACATAACCTATAAATTAACCATTCCCCATCTGGCAATTCAGATGTAAAATTCATAGTTTTCCATCTACCAGGCGGCGGCAACCGCCCCCCCACAGCTCCCCCCCCCCCGTCCTCCCTTCTCGAGCGCTTTCTAACAGAGCCTGATGCAAAGTGGGAGGGAAAAAGAAAGAGGAGGAAAGGAAGGGGGCAAAAAAAAAAAAAAAAAAAAAAAAAAAAAAAAAAAAAAAAAAAAAAAAAACAAAAAAAAAAAATGTGCCTCAGCAATGCACTTTCCCTTCCTTGGCTTAGGTTACTTTCATCTTCATAGTACTCGGCATTCAAGAAGACTCCTANGAAAAAAAAAAGAGAAGAGAAAAGGAGGGGAAAAAAAAAAAAAAAAAAAAAAAAAAAAAAAAAAAAAAAAGCTAAGCCAGCATGAAAGAACCGGGCTCGCACACAAGTAGGGACCCAGCACACCGCGGTCCCCGGCAGCTCTTCCCGCTGAGGAGCGCTGCGAAGTGCGGCGCGGAGCGACCGAGCCGGGCGGGGAGGGGACGGGGATGTCCCCGCGCTCAGCCCGGGCAGCAGAGCGCGGGGCGGCGGGAGCGCCGTGTGCCCGCGGAGCGGGGAGCGGGCCGGCTGCCCGGGGCAGGCAGGGAACGCCCGGGCAGGGAGGAAAGGGACACCCGGGAAGCCGAGATCGCTCACTCACTCATAGCCACGGGCGAGCAGCCTCCCCGCCCCCCCTCCCCGCCACTTCGCGCCGCGAGGAGCCACCAGCGCTGGGCGCGACACCGCCCGCCGGGCCACCGGGGCGAGGGGGTGACTCCCGGGCCCCCGCGCACCCCAGCCAAGGTCACCCCATCGCCCGGGGTGCCGGGCGGGAGGGGGGGAAATTTAGTATTTGACGGCGGCCACGGAAAAGGGGGGAGGGGAGAAGCCCCGCGGAGGGGCGAGGGGGATGGGAAGGGGGAGCTCCACCACGGGCCAGGGGGAGCTCTGCCCTCCCGCTCCCCCTCTGCTCCCCGTCCGCCTCCAGCGCTGGCCGCGGAGCTCGGTCCGGGCGGGCGTCCCTCACGCCCCCGGGAAGGGAAAATGGAGCGGGGACGGGGTGGGGGTACCCGCGGCCGAGGTGCCGCGCTCCTTACCCCGCTGCAGCCGCCTCGCCTCGCTGGTCGCAGGCGGGTCCGCTCCGCGCTGCCGCCGCTCCGGGCTCGGAGAGGCGCTGCCGCCGCCGCCGCCGCAGCCAATCGCCGCCAGCCCCCTCCCCTTCCGCAGCTCGCCCCGGTCCCCCTGCCGGCTTCAAAATGGCGCCAACTCGTCTCCGGCTGCTCCAATGGAACCGCCGAGCGGAGCGAGCGCGGCCAGCGCGGGGCACCAGCGCCCCCTGCCGGCCCGCGCGGGCAGCACCCACGGCCCGGCACGGCACGGCACGGCCGGGGCTGAGCGTGGGCCCGGGCCGGCTCCGCTGACGGGCGCGCTGTGGGCCACTGAGGCAAGCGCTACGAATTACTAAAGCATTGTTGTGAAAAAAAATAAGGAATAAAGTCGCTTAACTGCGGAGAAAGAGCAGGAAAAGTAGGGTAAGTCAATCATCTAGCCCTTTGCTCTTGCTTCAGCTAGTGCAAGAGTTTGAAGGGTGCCCTCACAGGAAAACGCAAACAGAAAAGCAATGTGGCTTCTTTTCACCGCTACAGCTAAAAGGCTTCATTTATTGCAGAATCATAGAACAAGTTGAAAAGAACCCATGAGGATCATCGAGTCCAACACCTGGCCCTGCACAGCACCATCCCTGAGAGTCACACCATGTGCCTGGGAGAACTGTCCAAACTCTTCAACTCTGGCAGGTTTGGTGCTGTGACCGCTTCCCTGGGGAGCCTGTTCCATGGCCCGACCACCCTCTGGAAGAAAAACTTTCTCCTGACACATCAGGACAGCATGTAAGTGTTTAGAAGGTTATGATTCAAAAAACACAAATGACACTTTACAGGTCTGCTGAAAAATACCCACTGCTTTGTCCAGTGTGAGAAACACACTTCGACTGACTGTTAGCCAATACATTGTAACTAGTGGTTTCAATCTTTCAGAAGGTCCCCTCAAGCTTTCTGAACTTGCTAGTACAGTGTACCGAGCATGCCTTATCTTCATTCAGTGCTAAACCACCTCATTGGCTAATGCGGACTACGTTAGCTCAACCAGAACTATTGCATACAAATCACTTTTCAGCCCCCAAAACTCCCCTTGTTTGTATTTGTTTCCCCAGTGACTTATATTTGGTCCACTCCTTCTGGGAAGACAAAAAAAAAAAAAAAAAAAAAAAAAAAAAAAGTTGAGACGTAGAAGAAGGTTTGTCTGACAATCTTGTATTGGGAAGGATCCTGGACTTGGAGTCAAGGTATAACTTTTTTATGAAGGTTGAACAATTTCCTCTCAATTCTCCCATTGCTGTCTATCTAGGCTCACCGAGTATAAAGCCTTAGGTTGGGGAACACATCCTTTCCCAGTTGGAGCACTTGCAGATGTGTGCAGGGATACTTACAAAGCAGCAGAAAACTGAAACACTTTTTGAACTCTCTTAACACTGCTATTGAAATTGCAAAACCTGGCGTATGAGTGTGAAAGCAACCAGGGCGCTGAGATGCTCCGTTTTTCTGATGGAGCAGGTCACAGCAGCACCACTTCCAGCGCCTGATCCCCCTGCCAGGAGCGGCGGACGCTCCTCGGAGCGCTGAATAACGGGACCTCCCCCAGGCACGCTCCGCCCTTGTTTCCCGCCTGCACCGAGACCCTTCCCGACTTTGGGAATCGGCTTTTCGGAGGTGGCTCTTCACTCCTTTTCCCACCCCGTCTGGGTTCCGCAGTGGCGCTCGCGGCCCTGCGGAGGGAGCCCGTCCGCCACCGCCGCTCGCTCACCCGCGCTCAGCGCCTCGGAAAGCGCCGGGAACCTGCGCTCTGCCTACGGGAGAGGGCAACACGCGCCCACTCCTTTTCCATGCCGTCCCACAGTCGCACAGCGCAAGCCGTGCCAGCCCTGGCTGTGTCCCGAGGGCAGGCTCAGCCTTCCGCACGAGAAATGTTGCATCTCTCATGGAACTGGTAACTCTAAGCAGCCTTGCTAAATTTTAGGGGATTTGCCACCTCCTTGAAGTGTAGTCAAGTTGTGTTACTTACAGAGACTGTATACTTGAAAAAGATTAAAAATATTTATGCAAAATAAATATTTGTGCAAAATAAATATTTTGCTTGCAGTAGGACGTATAAGGAATGGCAGTGCCACAGAACTTCCAAGACCAGATCTTTTACACAGAATTATAAAATCATTTAAGGTTGAAGAACACCTTTAAGATCTCTGTGCCCAACTATTGACTCAGCACTACCAAGTCCGCCACTAAACCACATTTACATGTCTTCTAAATACATCTAGGGATGCTGACACCACCACTTCCCTGGCAGCCTGTTCCAGTGCTTGACCATCCTTTCAGTGAAGAAATTTTTCCTTATATTCTAAAACTCCACTGGAACAACTTGAAGCCATTTCCACTTTTCCTGATATTTGTTACTTGGAAGAAGAGAGTGATCTCTTTACTACAACCTCTTTTCAGGCAGTTATAGAGAGCAACAAGACCCCCACAGCCTCCTCTTGCCCAGACTAAGCAACCCCAGCTCCTTCAGTTGCTCCCCAAAAGACTTGTGCTCCAAATTGTGTGTGCTGAAGATGCTTTCCACATCTCAGTGTTTGAGTGACAATGATGAACATAGTCAAAGAACACCCTTACACAGCAGTATTCTTCTCACAGCCTTCTGTCTGTAAGAAGAATTGTGTGAAAAGAGAAGACTGCAGTGACAAGTGCCTTTTAGTCCCTACTTTATCAGATTGACAACCTCTCCCCTTGAATCATTTTAGCTATCTTTCTCAATTCATTCTTTAAAATCGTTGTGTCCTTGCAGACCAGAACTGTGCACTGTACTCAAGATGGGAGTATACTGAGATTTCCCTCAGAGCAGTGAACTGTCTTCTGTCTTACTCTCAGTACTATTCCTGATGACACCTAACATCTCTGTTGTTTAGCTTTGGGGGGTTTTTTTGTGTTTTTGTTTTGTTTTGTTTTGGTTTTTTTTGTATGTTTGTTTGTTTTTTGTTGCTGTTGCAGTTTCAGTCAAAGATTTCAGAGAGCTGACATCAGCAACTTCAAGATTTCATGAACTTAGACTTCCAGGTTTGACAGGTAATTCTATGTTTTACCTTACACTGGTGTAGTTCTCAAAGCCTATCTTTTTACCCACCCCCTTTTGTGAGGCCTTCTAGAGTTCTTTACACCAGCACAGCATCTGATTACCTGAAAGAGTTTAACATCCTGCAAGTATCATTCCGTGTGCTTTCCCTTTTCTGGGTCATTAATGAAAATCAAAGATTGTGCTGTTGCTGTTGCAGTTTCAGTCAAAGATTTCAGAGAGCTGACATCAGCAACTTCAAGATTTCATGAACTTAGACTTCCAGGTTTGACAGGTAATTCTATGTTTTACCTTACACTGATCTACTTCTCAAAGCCTATCTTTTTACCCACCCCCTTTTGTGAGGCCTTCTAGAGTTCTTTACACCAGCACAGCATCTGATTACCTGAAAGAGTTTAACATCCTGCAAGTATCATTCCATGTGTGCTTTCCCTTTTCTGGGTCATTAATGAAAATCAAAGATTGTTGCACAAAACAACATAAGTAAGCCCAAACATTTCTGGGACAGAGATTTGCTGACTTTTCTCCACCTGAGAAAGTAACCAAAAGTACTCTCTGCTTCCATCCTTCAACCATATTTCCAACTCAGGATAGGACATTTACTTCAATTCCATGACAATTTTGTTTGACAACTTTCAGTAAGAAAGCTGCACAAATGCTCTTTAAAAATACAAGCATGTTCCCTGGTTTGTCCTTGTCCATGCACTTCCTGACTCACAGACCTGCTGGAAGTCTGTGATTGTGTCACTATCTCCCTTCACAGAAACTACACTGGCCCTTTCCCAACACATTGTCTCTATCCATTGGCCCTGTGATCATACTCTTCTATTGGCCTTTCAGTGTAAATTCAAACAACTGTCAAGGTAATATCAGCTTTGTGAAAATCATACTTTTGTTTCCAGCATAATACTTCCCTCTGTTTCTCTTTTAATTGTGACTCTAAAACAATTGCGTCAAAAGTATTATACTAGCAAAACAATTCAGATTAAATATGTGTAATTTATATACTGAGCCCTTCACATTGGAAGGGACCTTTGACAAGTAGAAAGCAGGCTTTCTACCTGCACGTGTAGTGATTTGTCTCAGAGAAAGAAAAATTTATTAATTTTCAACTCTTCAACTCTTCAACTAAACAGCTGATAATATTACGAAGATGAGTTAACTTTACAACTAATTTTAGTATATCATATGTCTCTTAAGTAATTTGCAAGGAAGCCACATGGAAACAGTGACTTTAGATGACTGGAATTTTTAGACTCTTACTGTCTGTGTGTGTGCTGTTTCCAACACTGTCTCCTTGTAAACAAAAATCAAACAGCTGAATAATACAGTGATGCTCAGAATCTATTAGCTTCAATATATGTGCAATATAAATTTTGAAGTTTAAAAGTACTACTTTCATCTTAGTGCTAACAAGTCTGACTCCACCAGAGATACCTATTTGTGCCTGTCTTGTGGCAGTTTTCTAACAGGAAGACAAGAGTCATTAAGTACTAAATGGAATTTCACAAAAACAAGCAAACCAAACCAAACAAAAACCAACAAGAACCCAGCTAGAGAGGATATGAGGATGTGATCTTACTCTTCAGGGCGAGGACTGCAGAAAGCCTTTAACTCCACCTACTCATCTGCTTCCTTCATTACATAGTTAATAGCTATGCTGGGACACCATTAAGATTAAATTACCTACTAAAGTCAGTCTATTAAAGCAAGAAGCATTGCCCCCTCACAAAACATGTCCTCACAAATCAGCTGTAGACGTATCTTTATCTCTGACTTCTTCCTAAAGAAGTCATTGCCTAGATGGAGACATGCACAGGAAGAGAACAATAAAGTGCTTCATGTTACAATAGCCAGAGAAGCAAAAACATAATTTGGATTTTTAAATGTCCTAAAACGGAATGCAGTCAGGAAGTGATGGTGCATATTTTGCTACCATCCTTTATGCCTTAACTGAACAAATCAAACCATCTTGCCATCTGATAGGAATAGGTTAGAGAGCATTAATACACAAACCTTTAATCTTCTAAAACAAGTTTGTTATTGGGTTTTTTCATAGTTGTTTTTTTTTTTACATTCTAGTGTGACTTAGCTGTTTTGCTGCTAAATGTTGTGGAATCTTTTTGCTGACCATATCTGCACAATGTATTCCTACAGTCTAGCACAAATAAAACCTATGGAAGACAGCATCTAAAAAAGCACAGTAGAAAGGGGAAAAACATTTATTCTTCCCTTGGTGCCTTGCAGATGGGCATGACAGTAGTGAATACAGCAGTGAATTAGTATTTTGGAAGCCTGTACCAGCAGTCTTTCTTTCCCAGGTGATTAGCTCAGTTTGTCAGTGAATTAAATTAGTTTCTCCTCTGAGTTACCTAGAATTGATTTAAGTGCTATCCATCCTTAACTGAGATGTAGGATAAGAGGTGGGAGAGGATAGTACATAACTTGCATATTCTTAAGCAATGCCATTAGCATAACAAAAAGGGGGAAATTGTAAGTTTTATCTGTACAGTGAGCATCTCAGTAGTTCAGCTTTAAGAAATCAAATAAAAGTAACTTCAGGTAAAAGCTGAGTGGCTAAAATGAACAAGTATTTGACCAAAGAGAGAGGATGTCAATATGGACATAACTAAGCATGTAGCACTAAACTTTTTTAGTGTTTGATAACTTCTTTCCTCTTGCTTAAACATTAGTATATGAAGCTTAAATACTTGTCCTCTGTAAAATGCTGGGTATTTTTTAGTTGCTATATCTGGTGCTTTCTTTCTTCTACTCACACTTGTTGCTTTTACCATTCCACTGTCTTCGCCTCTGTTTAAAGCTACTTACTTTAATGTCCCATTGAATTTCGGTCTGTCGCTAAGTCTCCTTCATTTTTATGTAAAAGGGAGATGCTATTTACGGAGTCCCGAAGACTAAGAAGTGACTGGACCTTCACCTTGAGTGTCAGCTTCCTAGAAACTCCCCATGCTCTACTTCGAAAGACATGAATAGTTCGGAATCCTGCTTCCTTGGCTGGCTTTCACAACCCAAAATCTCAGCTTTGTTGTGGGCCAGCAGTTGTTATATTGTCTAGAGTTCTCTTTCTTAAAAGTTAAATCTCTTCCATTCTTTTAGTTCTGTTTTGCTGTAGCACTTGAGACCTAAATCACAGAACATTTGCCTTACTGTCAATAAAAAAATCTATGTATTGTGCTGATTTCAGATAAAAATCATTAAATTTTGAAAGGTTTCAAGAACCTCCAAAATAAACTAACTAGGTGTTACTTTTATTCTTGCCCCACTATTTTTATCTCCAAAAGGATTCATCCAGTACCAGAAGGGAATCAAATAACAATATTTAAATTACAAAGTAGTTATATCATAGTCAAAAGAAATACGAATCTAGCTATGACTTAAACATCACTTGCTACAATCTGTTGAATATATAAAATAATACTCCTATCTCATATAATCAGCAGGCTACCTGGACTTATTTTTTTTATTTGTAAAAATATATAATTTTATCAAAACTCTAATTCTTAAGTTAATTTTGAAGTTTGAAAATAAGAACCTCCACATTATCTGTGGAAATTAATAAGCAAAAAAGCTCTTACTGTATTTTTACCACTGAAACTTTGATGTGACATTTGCATACCAGAATTCCTCTTAGTCATATAAAAGCTTCAGAAAAACAATTTGGCAAACAACATACCTGGTTTGTTGAGTAAACCAGCTCTCTTAAAGTTCACCAGAATTTCTCCTTAGATATAGTTTGATTTAAAGTCAAAGAATTATGCAACAATTATTATGTATTTCTTAAATCATCTTGAAGCCTCACGTTTTCAAACAAGATTTAGTAAGGTGACAAGACAATCTATGACCCAAGATCCTTTAGAAAGAGGCACGATTAAATCTAAGTCTGTAAATAGTCCTCTTG